AGTACTGGCAGGTGAGTTCATGTCATGGTGAGGAGTACTGGTGGGTGAGTTCATGTCATGGTGAGGAGTACTGGTGGTTGTGTTCATGTCTTGGTGAGGAGTACTGGTGGGTGAGTTCATGGCCGTCTTGGTGAGGAGTACTGGGTGGGTGAGTTCATGTCATGGTGAGGAGTACTGGTGGGTGAGTTCATGTCATGGTGAGGAGTACTGGCAGGTGTGTTCATGTCATGGTGAGGAGTACTGGTGGGTGTGTTCATGTCATGGTGAGGAGTACTGGTGGGTGTGTTCATGTCATGGTGAGGAGTACTGGCGGGTGAGTTCATGTCTTGGTGAGGAGTACTGGCAGATGTGTTCATGTCATGGTGAGGAGTACTGGCGGGTGAGTTCATGTCATGGTGAGGAGTACTGGTGGTTGTGTTCATGTCATGGTGAGGAGTACTGGCGGGTGTGTTCATGTCTTGGTGAGGAGTACTGATGGGTGAGTTCATGTCATGGTGAGGAGTACTGGTGGGTGAGTTCATGTCATGGTGAGGAGTACTGGCGGGGGAGTTCATGTTATGGTGAGGAGTACTGGTGGGTGAGTTCATGTCATGAGTGAGGAGTCATGGTGAGGAGTACTGGCGGGTGAGTTCATGTCATGGTGAGGAGTCATGGTGAGTACTGGTGTGGGGAGTTCATTTCTTGGTGAGGAGTACTGGCGGGGGAGTTGATGTCATGGTGAGGAGTACTGGCGGGTGAGTTCATTTCATGGTGAGGAGTACTGGTGGGTGAGTTCATGTCATGGTGAGGAGTACTGGCAGGTGAGTTCATGTCATGGTGAGGAGTACTGGCGGGTGAGTTCATGTCTTGGTGAGGAGTACTGGTGGGTGAGTTCATGTCTTGGTGAGGAGTACTGGTAGGTGTGTTCATGTCTTGGTGAGGAGTACTGTTGGGTGTGTTCATGTCATGGTGAGGTAGTACTGTTGGGTGAGTTCATGTCATGGTGTGGAGTACTGGTGGGTGAGTTCATGTCATGGTGAGGAGTACTGGTAGGTGAGTTCATGTCATGGTGAGGAGTACTGTTGGGTGTGTTCATGTCATGGTGAGGAGTACTGGTGGGTGAGTTCATGTCATGGTGTGGAGTACTGGTAGGTGTGTTTATGTCATGGTGAGGAGTACTGGCAGGTGTGTTCATGTCATGGTGAGGAGTACTGGTGGGTGTGTTCATGTCATGGTGAGGAGTACTGGTGGGTGTGTTCATGTCATGGTGAGGAGTACTGGCGGGTGAGTTCATGTCATGGTGAGGAGTACTGGTGGGTGTGTTCATGTCATGGTGAGGAGTACTGGTGGGTGTGTTCATGTCATGGTGAGGAGTACTGGTGGGTGTGTTCATGTCATGGTGAGGAGTACTGGTGGGTGAGTTCATGTCATGGTGAGGAGTACTGGTGGGTGTGTTTATGTCATGGTGAGGAGTACTGGCAGGTGTGTTCATGTCTTGGTGAGGAGTACTGGTGGGTGTGTTCATGTCATGGTGAGAGAGTACTGGTCATGGTGAGTTCATGTCTTGGTGAGGAGTACTGGCAGGTTTGTTCATGTCATGGTGAGGAGTACTGGTGGGTGTGTTCATGTCATGGTGAGGAGTTACTGGCAGGTGTGTTCATGTCATGGTGAGGAGTACTGGTGGGTGTGTTCATGTCATGGTGAGGAGCACTGGCAGGTTTGTTGATGTCATGGTGAGGAGTACTGGTGAGGGTGAGTTCATGTCATGGTGAGGAGTACTGGTGAGGGTGAGTTCATGTCTTGGTGAGGAGTACTGTTGGGTGAGTTCACGTCTTGGTGAGGAGTACTGGCAGGGTGAGTTCATGTCTTGGTGAGGAGTACTGGCGGGTGAGTTCATGTCTTGGTGATGACTGTTGGGTGAGTACTGGTGAGGAGTACTGGTGAGTTCATGTCTTGGTGAGGAGTACTGTTGGGTGTGTTCATGTCATGGTGAGGTAGTACTGTTGGGTGAGTTCATGTCATGGTGTGGAGTACTGGCGGGTGAGTTCATGTCATGGTGTGGAGTACTGGTAGGTGAGTTCATGTCATGGTGAGTACTGGTGGGTGAGTTCATGTCATGGTGAGGAGTACTGGTGGGTGAGTTCATGTCATGGTGTGGAGTACTGGTAGGTGAGTTCATGTCATGGTGAGGAGTACTGGCAGGTGAGTTCATGTCATGGTGTGGAGTACTGGTAGGTGAGTTCATGTCATGGTGTGGAGTACTGACGGGTGAGCGTGTGAGTTCATGTCATGGTGAGGAGTACTGGCGGTTGTGTTCATGTCTTGGTGATTAGTACTGGTGGGTGAGTTCATGTCATGGTGAGGAGTACTGGCGGGTGAGTTCATGTCATGGTGAGGAGTACTGGTGGGTGAGTTCATGTCATGGTGAGGAGTTCTGGCAGGTGAGTTCATGTCATGGTGAGGAGTACAGGCAGGTGTGTTCATGTCATGGTGAGGAGTACTGGCAGGTGTGTTCATGTCATGGTGAGGAGTACTGGTGGGTGTGTTCATGTCATGGTGAGGAGTACTGGCAGGTGAGTTGTTCATGTCTTGGTGAGGAGTACTGGTGGGTGTGTTCATGTCATGGTGAGGAGTACTGGTGGGTGTGTTCATGTCATGGTGAGGAGTACTGGCGGGTGTGTTCATGTCATGGTGAGGAGTACTGGTGGGTGTGTTCATGTCATGGTGAGGAGTACTGGCGGGGAGTTCATGAGTGTTCATGGTGAGGAGTACTGGTGAGTGGGTGTGTTCATGTCATGGTGAGGAGTACTGGCGGGTGTGTTCATGTCATGGTGAGGAGTACTGGCGGGTGAGTTCATGTCATGGTGAGGAGTACTGGCGGGTGAGTTCATGTCTTGGTGAGGAGTTCTGGCAGGTTTGTTGATGTCATGGTGAGGAGTACTGGTGGGTGTGTTTATGTCATGGTGAGGAGTTCTGGCAGGTTTGTTGATGTCATGGTGAGGAGTACTGGTGGGTGTGTTTATGTCATGGTGAGGAGTTCTGGCAGGTTTGTTGATGTCATGGTGAGGAATACTGGCGGGTGAGTTTATGTCATGGTGAGGAGTACTGGCGGGTGAGTTCATGTCTTGGTGAGGAGTACTGTTGGGTGAGTTCACGTCTTGGTGAGGAGTACTGGCGGGTGAGTTCACGTCTTGGTGAGGAGTACTGGCGGGTGAGTTCATGTCTTGGTGAGGAGTACTGGTGGGTGTGTTCATGTCTTGGTGAGGAGTACTGGTGGGTGTGTTCATGTCATGGTGAGGAGTACTGGCAGGTGAGTTCATGTCTTGGTGAGGAGTACTGGTGGGTGAGTTCATGTCATGGTGAGGAGTACTGGTGTACTGTGGTGTGTTCATGTCTTGGTGAGGAGTACTGGCGGGTGAGTTCATGTCATGGTGAGGAGTACTGGCAGGTGAGTTCATGTCTTGGTGAGGAGTACTGGCGGGTGTGTTCATGTCTTGGTGAGGAGTACTGGTGGGTGTGTTCATGTCATGGTGAGGAGTACTGGCGGGTGAGTTCATGTCTTGGTGAGGAGTACTGGCGGGTGAGTTCATGTCATGGTGAGGAGTACTGGTGGGTGTGTTCATGTCTTGGTGAGGAGTACTGGTGGGTGAGTTCATGTTATGGTGAGGAGTACTGGCAGGTGAGTTCATGTCATGGTGAGGAGTACTGTTGGGTGAGTTCACGTCTTGGTGAGGAGTACTGGCGGGTGAGTTCACGTCTTGGTGAGGAGTACTGGCGGGTGAGTTCACGTCTTGGTGAGGAGTACTGGCGGGTGTGTTCATGTCTTGGTGAGGAGTACTGGTGGGTGTGTTCATGTCATGGTGAGGAGTACTGGCGGGTGAGTTCATTTCTTGGTGAGGAGTACTGGCGGGTGAGTTCATGTCATGGTGAGGAGTACTGGTGGGTGTGTTCATGTCTTGGTGAGGAGTACTGGTGGGTGAGTTCATGTCTTGGTGAGGAGTACTGGTGGGTGAGTTCATGTCTTGGTGAGGAGTACTGGCGGGTGAGTTCATGTCTTGGTGAGGAGTACTGGTGGGTGTGTTCATGTCATGGTGAGGAGTACTGGTGGGTGTGTTCATGTCATGGTGAGGAGTACTGGTGGGTGAGTTCATGTCATGGTGAGGAGTACTGGTGGGTGAGTTCATGTCATGGTGAGGAGTACTGGCGGGTGAGTTCATGTCATGGTGAGGAGTACTGGTGGGTGTGTTCATGTCTTGGTGAGGAGTACTGGCGGGTGAGTTCATGTTATGGTGAGGAGTACTGGCAGGTGAGTTCATGTCATGGTGAGGAGTACTGGTGGGTGAGTTCATGTCTTGGTGAGGAGTACTGAGTTCAGTTTATAGAGAAGTGAGGGGAGCACTGGTGGGTGAGTTCATGTCATGGTGAGGAGTACTGGTGGGTGTGTTCATGTCTTGGTGATGAGTACTGAGTTCCGTTTATAGAGAAGTGAGGGGAGCACTGGTGGGTGAGGTCATGGTAAGTGTGTACAAGTAGTCCGTCTGTGTTTACATTATTTCAACAATGCAGTCTTATGAAATGCATTCGAATGACAAAATGTGTCAATCATACACTATAAGTGTCAGATTCGCAGTCATTGTACTTGCCTCTGTAAAGCTGTAAACCTTGTCGTGTATACTTTCAAGGGAAATATTTGGGAGAAGATGTTGTGAGTACAGTACAGATTCTCGTATTGTTGGGGGTTGAGTGCCAACAAGGAAGGCTTGGTGACTGCGTTGGTTAGACCACTGTGTCATCTGCTGCTTCACCCTCATGGTTTGGGCTGGAATCCTCAACGGGACTCAACCCAACAAAAGTTCTAGAATTTGTACCTCACTTAGAAAGTGTAATCCCAAATTTAAGACTTGATACCTCGATATAGCTGAATGTGAAAGTGACGTGCACTTAGAAGTACACACACACTGATGTGCCTTAACTAATGTCACTTACAAATAGTTCTCCAACAGCTTTCATTCCATGTTCAGGACAACAACATCTGGAACAGGGTCACCCAGTACAAGCCAGTGTTTGTGGAGCCCCGGGGGAAAGTGGCCTTCACAGACGTAAGTTGTGCTTTCATCACTCTTCTACAAGCATATATGGTTGCTCTCTACTGCCTGTACCTGTTATCAGCTCAACTGGTTGTAAATAATCATCACCTATCACCTCCCCACTTTAGCCTTTTGTTTGAATACAGTATATTTTACTAATATTTGAACAGTACCTCTGTAAAGACAGTGACAAATAACTGTGGATTGCAGAGTCTGACAAGGGTTCCACCATGGCATATGTCAATGATTCATGACATTGACATGATGATATTCAAAGTGATTTTATACAATTTTACCTCATCATGACTCATATTAATTGCTTATCTCATCTCATTTCCAAATGGTAGTGGGAACTCCAATGCTTGTGTTCCCATAGAGCAGAAAAACGTCTCACCCGAAAGTACCCCCAGCCTTGGCCAAGTCACTGTCTCATTTTCGTGCCAAACATGATAGTTGGGGAAAATTTTCAGTGCTCTCGCAACTCGCAAACTGACCCTTTTCTGTCCAAATCTTCATTACATTCTTCATTAAGTCATTAAGAAGCTAAATTTGTCCTTCGCCAAGGCTGCCAGAACGCAGGGTCTTCCCACACCTCATTACAACGCTAAGAAGTTCCCTCTGCACAATATGACACCATCCCTGTGAGCCTTGAGTTGGATGAAGACTACAGCCTCCTTTCAAACTCCAAAAGGAGATCTTACAGAGTTGAAGATAGTTTCAAGCTATGCCAGCTTCCTATCATCAGACAAGCCTTCCTTGGTGTCACCATGTCCGGATCCTTCCAACGCGGCATTGATATCACACCCCAAATATCCAAGGTCTGACAAGGAGCGTCTGCTTTTGTTCGCCATGGTCAGCCAGCATAAGTACCAAGAGTCTATCTCTGACCAGATCAGGTCAGGATTGGTGGGACTCACCTTACTGTCAAGATTAGGACAAATTCCAATTGGTCAGATCTGTATACCAAAGCACTATGTGTCAATCCTGGGACCACGATCTTTAATAATCAGGTACAGGGCATTAACAAGGAGATGGTCCAGGATCCGGTTGTATCATTGCTTCATTAACTAATGTCAACATTAAACCCTAATGATACATTAAATCCTTAATGCATCATTAGTTAATGGCATCATTAAAAACGGTTGTATCAAACACTTATTAGCGTATCATTATCTAATGACGTCCTAATGTAAATATTTTCATTAAATCCGGGAATTCCCCTAATATTTTCCCACAATTCCGCGCTGTAAACATGTAAGTGTTACTCTCCGTCGTCTGTCAAAATGGCATCTTTGGGGCTAAACCTCGGAACAAAAACAAACATTTCGACTGCTGTGAAGAAACACGTCTAAATAATTCTGAACGTCGCCGATAAACCTAGAATCGGTTGGGATGTTTTGGAATATACATTTAACACCTAACGCCGAAGCGAGCTTTCATATTGGATAGTGTTTACAAAATCAAGTTTCGCTAAGGCCAGTCATAGGACGCCTATTACATCATGTATATTTCATATTCAGTTGTGACAAATGCATCGCTGAATTCCTCATACATTTTAGAATCAAATTCCAAATGGTCTTTGTCACTATAACAAAGTGTCTAAGAAAAAGCGAAACATATTGGCTGTGAAAGCGGGGACGTTGTGCTCATTACACAGCTTGCTAGAAATATAAACAAAGCAAAAATAAATACTGTGCAGCATTTTCTCAATTTTTTAGACATCAGTTCGTCTATTCAGAGCATGCATGAGCTCAATATTTTTAGAATATGCACGGAAAGAGTATCGTGAGCAAGAACTAGAAAACTTAAAACAGATACAATACTGAAATTTCATATATTCACACGAAAGTTCTGTGCAGCGTGTCGCCATCGCGAGACGCAACATCATGGAGAACGACATAGGCAATTATCGGCATTTCTGACGTTTTCAATGAAAACAATAAAACAAACAACCATAATGGAGATAGTCAGAATGTTTCCGATTACTTACATCATACATTTATGGACAAAGGTATCCTCGCCAAAATCGTGGGCACCCATATCCACGAAGCCGCCATTTCATGAGAAATCGGTCATCGGTAGCGATGTCATACATCAACATTGTTGGACGAATGTGGCAATTTCTTTGAGGTGAAGGTCGGTTGAATAAGAGTAAACACAATCACACTGTCCCTGCGGATTACACTTGTATTATTAATGTATACTTTCTATATCGTTCACATATGGTTTCATGAAACTAATTTCATTATCAACATTTAGTATTTTAAACCTAAGTAAAACTGACATAATAAATTAAAATGATTTATTTATTCCATGAAATATATATGCACACGTTTTTAAAGGATATGTCTTGTTCATTGAATTTGTTTATGTTGTGTTATAGACAAAACAATGGCGTATAATCATTGGCCAGGTGCTGCGTTTTGTCACAAATGTTTTGAGTATCATTGTTTTCGATAATTCTGTGAACAAAACATCACGAATATATTGTGTCCTTATTCACAGCAAATTCTCGCCAAGTGATCTGAGTTACAATGACTTAGTATTAAGCATACCGGAGTGAGGCCCCTTATCTTTATAAGCGTGTGACCTTTATGTAGCCAATTGGCGTCATAGGGGAAAATCCATTTTCAACACATATTGCGAGTCACTTTTAAGATTGAGCCGTATAACGTTATACATAAGCACACAAACTAATTTAATACATACCTATGTCATTCAGGTATCAGGTAGAATTTTGTTAGCTCACACTTTCCGTAAAGATGCCAAATTGAAAATATAGTAGCACAGTACTTTTATCAGTGCACGCGATAAACAGCAGAGAAATTTACTGTTTTTAGCGAAAAAACAAAATTAGGCGTAACATTTAGCAATGTCTACTTTTCAAACTGAGTTTATACCATGAGATAGTACATTGAATACTCTACATTTCTGTGTAATTTTATAGCTGTAGGTAGATCCAGTGCGGCGCAAACAAAATTCTGGCGCAATGTTCACTTTTCCAGGACGTTTAATGATGCTCTAATGATACCCCACGACCTTCATTAAGTTAATGACGCACTAATGACAACAGAGCATCATTAAAACGTTAGTACAACAGAATTTAATGATACATTAGTTAATGGACGTTTAATGGCACGTTAATGCTTCATTAAAGTTTGATACAACCGGGTCCAGGACTCTAAGGACCAGATGCTCATCAAATCAGTCCAGACCATGAATTTGATGGTCACGCAGTTCACGCAGACATCAAGCTTTAAAAGCAGATTCTGAGGCATCCAGAAGGCAAAGGATAAGAAGTACTCCGGAAGCCTTATGGTAAATCAAAAGACCAATCTTCCCATGTCCAGGGCAGAGGAAATTAGGTGAAGGGGCCTTACTGGTGAAGGGGTGCACTTGGGCAATTGAGAACTTCCACTCCCAATTGTCCAAGTGGCAGAAAGCACAGTAGAAGGAAGACTACAGACGTATTGGCCAAACTGGGACCTCCTGGAAGACAATTCATCCCAAACACCTTAAGGAATTGATATACCATTCCGGTGTTTGTGACTCCACTGCTCACACTCTACCGTCTGCAGATACACTACGCAGAAACCCTACTACCCAAGCTGACAGAAGCGATAGATTCACTTCTATCCAAAGATGCAATAGAAGTTATACCTCAAGAGGCAGACGACAAGACACAAAGACTTTCAGGCAAGCTTAGATCAAAGAGGTGCCTACCTGCATATGCCAATCAACACAGGGTCCAGCGATTCCTGTTCAACCATCAGCAGTACCAGTGGAGAGTTCTTCTGTTTGGCATTTCCACAGCCATGTCATTAATCATTCATGTCACCAAGCCCATTGTGAACCTTCTACTTAACACCAACACCCTAGCACTTCAACAAGCCACTATGCTCAAACAGCTACTAACTTCACTCTACAACTGTTGTCCCAACTGAGGTAGAGTATCAATGACCAGAAATCGGACCTTCAACAAACACAGGATCTCAAGTACCTTGGGATAAGGTTTTTCACTTGCCCAGAACTTGATTCAAGTCCCAGTAGTTTGTTGGCTAAAGACAAAACAAGCCCTGACAACTGCTCTGTACAAACAGATAACTGTCAATCAATGACAAGTGCTTTTAGGCCTACTTACTTCAGCCCAAGCAGATTGCAACTACGACCCATCCAGAGGTTTCTAAACCCACTACTGGGCCAACAGGACTTCACACCCCAACTACCACCTCACCTACTACAGTATCTCTAATGGTGGATGATAAAATCTTGAACAAGACAACCTTCAACCTGCACTATACGTAGATGCGTTTATAAAGTGTTGGAGTGCAAACCTCGAAACAGAGGTAACCTCAGGGCTATGCTTGCCAGAAGGGAAGCTATTTCACTGGGAGTTCAAGGTGATCATCTGAGCCATCAATCACTGGGCCCCTCGACTGTCCAATCAGTCATTGATGGTCAGGACAGACAACTGGACAGTATCTGTTGACATCAATCTACAAGGCACAACAAAGTCACCTACCATATTGAAGCTAACTTTTCAATTACATCGCCTCACAGACAGCCTAAATCTGTGGATGAAGGCAAGACACACATCAGGAGCCAAAGACGAGAGCTGTCTCCAGCAGAATGGAAACTTCATCCAGCAGCATTCCAACTGGTGGTAAAATAACAAGGTGCCCATCAGTAGACATGTTAGCCACATGAATCAACAATCAGATAAGCGCCATCTCTCCAGTTCCAGAACCCACAAAGCTACACCATCCCAGGCATAGTCGCGTTTGGCTCAAAAGCGGACCGATGAAGTGCAATCTAACTCGAAAACTAATAAAAATATAATACTCACTGAAATGCTGATCATAATCAAAACATCAGACCAGCTCTGTTATTCTTTTTCATAGAGATCGTCCTTGGGGTACATATATGCATTTTCTGCGCTGAAAATGTCCTGTGACAGTTGTATCAATGTTTTACTAAAAATATTGTACAATAAATAAAATCTTTTTTATCTA